CCTCCGCCACAGCCCCCACCGCCACAGCCTCCGCCACCACCACAGCCTCCTCCACCGTGGCCTCCACCGTGGTCACCACCAGAGCCTCCACTGTGGTGGTGGCCACCGCTAAACATTGCTCCCACGAAATCGGATCGCCTTCTTGGCTTTCGCCTTTTTGGAGATGGAAAGAAACTGAAACACATTTTGGATTGATTGCTTGCAAGGGGGCATAATCTTCTGCTTGTATACAAGGCTAGAAGGCAATGTGAGACTTTGACTCAGAGGAAGCCACGAAGAAAGCAATGATAGCGCGTGGACCTGGAGAAGTTTATGCAATCAGTGCCACGTCGTGACACTTCATCAGAGTGTTCAAGAAACGCAAGACGTAACACTACAAACGTGCATTTGTCTATCCAATCTTTGAAGAATACGTGCATAAAATCTCGTCAAATTGCGCGTGAAGGAAGTTGCTTTGCTTGCTCCATATGGGGCCAATCAGATGTTCTCCTGCCTACTATATAAGCGCAAGCCTCCTCGCATCAATCATACCTTTATCTTGCGCAATCCAAGATGTGTTTCGGTTTCTCTCAATCCTCTAACAGGCGAAAGCAGAGGCGAAGGCGCCCGTCTGCAGCAACGGGCGCCTTCGTGAGTGGTGGCGGAGCTTGTGCTGGCACTGGCGGCGGAGGCTGTGGTGGCGGTGGCGGCGGTGGTGGTGGTGGTGGCTGCGGAGGAGGCGGCGGCGGCGGAGGCTGCTAAATACTCTGTATGAGAAATAGATATGAATGTTTGTAAATATGCATAATCTCAAACTTCCTCAAATAATACGTACAATTTGTTTGTTTTTTTTACAGTCAAGGATTGAGCTGGCCACGATCTTAGCACTGTTTTGGAACTAGTAAGTAGAATCTCGTAGAATCTATTCAGCAATTCTATGTACTTCAGGTACTATAGTGATTCATGTAAAATCCAAAAAAAAGGGAAACATCTACAATACAACGTTTTGAGCGCTCTTCTCTTGTCTTCTCTCGAGTAAAAGCTTTGATTCTTCTAGCTCTCTCTTGCCTCCTGTTTTCTTACGATTCGCGTCGGGTTCTCCTTTGACGGGCGCCCTCGCCTTCCTTCTCAATCTCGTTGCCACCCGCGTCGTCCTCCGCCTTGTCCTTGGAATCGTCCGGGTTGGAGATGTCTTCCTTCTTGGACTTCTCTACAGTCACCTGAACCATGAGAATCCAAAACTAGCGCAACTCTATTGCTAATTGTACCTTCGTCTTGTTGGGGGGCGATTTCTTGCCACCAAAAAGAATCTTAAACAGCGTGACCACCAAGATGAGCGGGATCAAAGCTATGGCGCTCAAAGAAATGGTTGGGAACTTCTCGGCCTTCTCCAGAAGATCCTGTGTGTCACAAACGAAAAGAAAGTAAGAATACGAGACAAAGTCCATGCTCATGTGTTTTACTTACAAGAATCTTTTCCTTCTGTGACGCCAAAGTCGGGATGTCGGCAACCTTGCGCAGGTACTCAAACATCTTTGCCTGAAAAGATTCAAGGTCGTCACACACACACACAAGAAAGAAAACAAAAGACAGACAAAAGAAGACAAAGGAAAAGTACCTGGATGCCGTCAGGATTCGGAGTCGCTTCTTCAATTTTTTGCTTCTCCCTCTCAGCCTCGTACTTGGGCTTCCATTTCGTCTCCCTGTACTCTGCTGCCACAGCCTCGTCGGTCGCCACCAGGATGTTGTCAAAAAGAATGCCGTCCTGCATCGTCCAGATCTCGATCCCTATCGCCGAGATCGGCTCTAGATCCGGCCTGTCCAACTCGAAGTACTCCGGGTTCGGTATTTGCTTCGGAGCCCAGATCCCCTTGTAAGCCGGGTTGTCGATCACTTCGGAGGATACCACTTCCCCTTGTAGTCCGGGTTCCTCTTCATGGGCCTCTTCCATTCTCCACACCCAGACGCTTCCTCACACTTTGGGTTGCTGATCTTCGGGGGCTCCCACTCGCCATCCTCTTCGTCGTCCCAGTTCGCGGGCTTGCTAGCTTCCGGATCGTCAACCTCGTCCGGCTCGTTGTCGTTTCCTAGCACACAAGCCTCACAAAATTCAAGCTTGCCTGTAAACTCGAATTCTTGTGCATGTGCTTGATCTCTGGACACTGCTTTGAGGGCGTCTTCATGCACATGGCCTAGACGCTCATGCCACAACTGGAGATTACTCGCTCGAGTTGAGAGCGCTCGATCTGGCTGCTTATCTGGAACAACCATGGTGGCGTCAAGTTTATAAAGTCCAGAATAGCGTTGTCCATAAGCCACTGCTTGATCTGTCTTCTCGTCTCGCATAATAGCCTGCTTGGCATTAAAAATAAAATAGAAACCGTTGTCAGAAGCTGCACCGATTGAGAAAAGATGATACGCCAAGCCTGGAACAAAATACATGTTCCTGATATCTCGTAGCTCTCCTGAGGCCAGCTTTACTTGAACTGTGCCCACTGCTACAACTGAAAGAAGACTCTTGTCTCCTAAACCAACCTGCCTGCCTGTAGAAATTTTCCTGAGGTTCAGAAAAGCTTCTTGCCTGCCTGTCATGTGCATATTTGCTGCTGTGTCCAGCCAGATCACGTCTTGATCCTGCTGCTGAACAAACACAGGTTCTGGAATAGCTCTTACCATAAGAGCTCTTGACTGGTTTGTATAGCCAGTCCTGGCGTTCTTTCTCCCCAAACCTCGAGGACGCCCTGCTAACCTGTCTCGGCATTCTCTGGCGTAGTGTCCAACCCGCTTACAATAATTGCACTCACCTTTACGCTCGCGTGAGTTGCTGTCTCCAACATTGCTAGCCCTGAAACTGCTCGCAGTGTTGCTCGCACCAGCCTTGAAACTGCTAGCGCTGCCTCCTTTACCTGGAGAATTCTTTGTTTGCTTTGAGTTGACAAACAAAGCTGTGGTTGTGGTTGTATCTGCGGGTGTCTGGTCTTCGGCTGGTTCTTCTTCATTGATAAGAGCTGCTTGCATTTCAATGAAGGTTTTCGTTGAGTTCTTGAGCATAGTCTTCAATGATTTGAATTCTGGGCGAACCAAAGCATTGAGAAGAACTGCTCGCTTATCATTCTCGGTGACTGCTTCACCTAGACTTGACAGTTGGGAGAGCACCGACTTCAGCCTTCCTAGAAAAGCTGCTGGAGTCTCGTCCGCTGCCATTTTTAAGCCAAAAAGTTTAGACTTTAACTCAACCTTTGAAATCTCTGCGCTCGCTTGGTTCCCAAATACGTTCTTCAAGGCTGTCCAGTTCTCTTCTGCGGTCTTCGTGATATCCAGGTGGTGGTGGTGCAATTTGCCCAGGCCAATCCCCATGGTGGAGACTGCCTTATCGTTTCTGACCTGCCATTCGTCTTCATCGCTTGCCGCTGACTTCGGCTCTGTTCCTTGGACAATTCTGAGACAGTTGTCCCGGAGAAAGAGGAACGAAATTTCTTTCGCCCAATTCTCAAAATCTGTGCCCGTGAATAGAGGGATCGGTATTAGTTGTGGTCATTTCTTCTACAATTTCCAGCACGCTCCACTTTTCTACAGCACGGATTTTTCCCTTCCTCTTCTTCTGCTGCAGTCGAGCAGTCACGCGATCTAGAGTCGCGTAGCCTTGCTGCTCGTTGCGTGGTCTTGTTTTGCCCATGAGATCATCGTTTGCTCCGATACCATGATAGTTTTCTAGTTAAACGACATACTCTGTTTCCCCTAACCTACTACCTTTTCATTTTCTCCATGTAAATATATACAAGTCTTGTGTCCGCTCATTTCAGCGTCCACATAAATCTCTTGCCACCTTGGATTAGACTCCAGGCTGGCTATCTACACAGCCAGTCATCGGGCTTGACCGCCTCCGCGTCCTCGATCTCCAGTGGAGCGTCCTCGTCCCAATTCTCGGGCTTGGTCGCTTCCGGATCGGGGATCTTCGCCCGATCGTCCCAGTCCTGGGGCTTCTTGTCGTCGGGATCGGAGATGGTCTTGGGCGGATCACGGCCGGCTCAAAGTCGCTCGAGAGGAGGTCGACGCTCTTCTCCTCCTTGCCGTCGACGAGGATCTTGAGCGTGTTGTTCGGGTAGATCACTGCCGTGTAGACGTGAGAGAGCTTGTCAGCCACTGGCGGTACTTGAGGTGATGCTTGATGTGCTTGTCGGATTTGGGGCCCTTGTGCTTGTAGATGAATTGCACCTTGTTGGTGTTTCCACATTTGTCTGGCCCAAACATGATTGAGTAGGGGGATTCATTACTGAAATTGCCGGGCGTCCATTGCAAGAGAAGGAACTTGAGATAGGCGATGCCACACTCTAATCCCTTCTGGAATTATAAAGATTAGGTTTAAACCTTAGTCAAACACAGAATAAGGGAGTTAAATTATGCTTTAAGTTAGTCATCCATGTTTAGCTTACCCAATATCTTTATTATATTTTTGGAATTCATCAAAAACTAAAAAACTCAAAAGTAGTTTTATGGTGAAAAACCTTAAGAGAATATTAGATTTTGTATTTTCACATCAGATTATAACATTGGTATTGGAGCCTAATTTAATTCTCATGGCTGACAAATATGGAAGGAAAACCAAGGTTATGGTGACTAGAGGATAACTTAAATATGATTGTAGATGATCATTCCTAAAGGATTGTTAAGCACCAAATTAAGGTAATAGAATAGAAAAAAGGCTTGTAATCAAAACCCTCCTTTGTAAAAAAAATGCATCCTTTAGGATTTTACTTTAGTCCCAAAAATTAATTTTTAAAACAATCACAAAAACTTACTAAATATAAAATGACACTAGATTGCAAATTTAGATGCAAGAATAACAAAGTGTATATTTGACAAAATGATATGTTAAAGTTTAGTACTGTGGAGTCCACTATTGTATGTCTACACAGGATCAAGAGATATGGACTTTGACACGACGATTTTTCGATAAAATGCCATACCAACAGCTAGTTTCTTGGAACACCATGCTTGATGCTTATGCCCAAAACGGGTATATGGTAGAAGCAAGGGTCATGTTCAATGCAATGGTGGAGAAGGACGTAATTTCTTGGACTAGAATGCTTGCTGCCTATGGCCTTAGTGGCCAGAGTTCACTTGCAAGAAAAACTTTTGCCCAGATGCCAGGGAAGAATGAAGTTTCTTGGGATGCAATGCTCAGTGCATGTACCCAAGCAGAGGATTCGGTTTCTGTGTTTAAGATGTTTCACACTATGCAGATGGCCGGCATTTACAACCAAGTTGGATTTGTCTCCGCCCTCAATGCTCACGGCCAAGTTGGCAGTGTTAAATGTGCTAGAAGTTGCTTTGTTTCGATGGCTTTTGACTGTGGCATTCAGCCATGTCACCAGCATTACTCCAGCATAATCGATGGCTTGGCAAGAGCTGGTTACATTGACAATGCAAGAGAACTCATCGGAAACATGACATTTGTTCCCACTTCTTTGAATTGGCTGTGCCTTTTAGCTGCATGTCAGAGCCTCGAGTGTGGAACCTGCATATCAAAATGGGTGTCTGGACTTGCGAGCAGCAGAGCTATGTATCCTCTCCTGGCAAATGTATGGGCTTGGCATTGTTAGAATCTAAGGGGAAAAAAACTGCTGCCTAGATTATGTTGTCAAATTGCTCAAGAATTTAAGACTAGAAGTACCAATTGCGTTTCATGCTTGATAATTTCAAATATTGACAAAATGGGAAAAAAACTAAAAATCATTTGTCTATATAACACCCAACATTCCCAGGATCTGAGGGTGGACCTCCTGGACCAAAGAGGCTCTGAGAGATCGCGAGCAACTTCAATCAGACAGATACCTTGCAATACCTAGCGATTGAGGTGTGTGGAAAGTGCAGCAGGCGAAAATTGTGTTTGATGATCCGCCTGAGGGAATGTGTTTGATTCTATGTGAATGTTCTCAAAACTCTTCATGGAAAACTAGAAAAGGATCAATGTTTGATGCCTGACGACGATACTTGCTGCCATGATAGGTACTAACAAAGCAAATATTCCTTTGTGCCATGATGCTCACACGAAGCTCTTCAGA